CTCCCTCTCCCACTCCCCCTGCTTGTGTTCCCTCTCTCACTGTGTCTCTCTCTGTCAAATAAATAAATAAAAAATCTTAAAAAAAAAAATGAAGTTCAAAGGACAGAGGGGCTTCATAAGAATTCACAAATAATACTCACTTCATTCCTTTCCAAGAAAACAGCCTTTCGGGGTTGAAAACTTTCTCAAATCGTTTTATTTTGTATGTGCTCATCCTATATTCAATTGTAAAAAGAGACATTTTTCAGAGCAAGCCATTTTAGGACCTCTTAAGAGTTAGCGGAAACACGGGAAATAACTCGGGATCTGAGCGCCGGGCTAGCTTTGGGAGGGGAGAGCCCCAGCTGCCCCAGGCTGCCAGGGGCAAATCTCAGCTCCACCACTGAGTGACTGCAAGGCCTGGGGCAAGTGACTTAGTCCCCAGAGCCGCAGTTTCCTTACGGCACAATGGGTAAAATACTAGGACCATCGGAAAGATGAAATGAGTTGATATATGGAAGTAAAGGGCTTAGCCCCGATGTTTATAGCAGCACCAGAGCCCAAGTAAGGAAAGAGCCCATCGACTGAGGAAGGGATAAAGAAGAGGCGGCGTATATACATGGAATACTACCCAGCCATCAAAAAAATATGAAATCTTGCCATTTGCAATGACGTGGATGGAGCTAGAGTGTATTAGGCTGAGCAAAATAAGTCGGCAGAGAAAGACAAATACCATATGATTTTACTCATATGTGGAATTTGGGAAACAAAACAAATGAACATGGGGGAAGGGGGAAAAGAGAAAGAGAAGCAAACCATAAGAGATTCTTAAATAGAGAACAAACTGAGGGTTGCTGGAGGGAGGTGGGTTGGAGATGGGCTAGATGGGGGATGGGCATTAAGGAGGGCACTTGCTATGATGAGCACTGGGTGCTGTATGTAAGTGATGAATCACTGAATTCTACTCCAGAAACTAATATTATACCATATGTTAACTAACTAGAATTTAAATAAAAATTTGGAGGAAAAAAATAATAAAGTGCTTAAAACAGGCTGACACATCATAAGCACTACGTAAATATTATTTACAGAAGTCTAAATGGTCTTGTTTTCTGAGTCCCAAAGAAAATAATTGGTCATTAATGTAAGTTTCAAGTTAGAATCACCCAAGGGCACGTACAAATCATTTATTTAACAGAGATTCGTAAAGGGTGTACAATGTGCCAAGACAAAAATCTTCCTTCACCGTTGTGGAGTTTATGCTCCAGGGCTTACATCTTTCAAGGCCACCAAATGTCCCCCCCACAGCACAAACAAGGCTCTCACCTGAATGGTGGCAGGTTTAAAGTTACAGTTAACAAAGCTCTCAGGGTGCAATACTTCACTGAACTACTTACTGATAGTGGAAGCCAATGTCATGGTTGCCAGCAACCACCTTCAGCTGCACGTGACGTGGGTGTCTGAATATTTTCTGAAACCGCTCCACATCATCTGCCCAGGCCTATGACAGAACGGGTCACTGCTGAGACCCAGAGAACCCTCTCTTCCCTGTGGCTAAAAAAAAAAAACCACACACTCCCTATTCTGATGATGAGAAATTAATTCCCCCATCCAAATCAGATTAATGTAGAACCTAGAATTTCTAATTCTATGTCATACTGCTTTTTCCAAGACTTAATATTTTAATTTATTTAATTTGATGTCAGCTTTTAAATGGTATTCCCCCATATTAAAACATTAGATGGCGGGTGCCTGGGTGGCTCAGTTGGTTAAGCAACTACCTTCGGCTCAGGTCATGATCCTGGAGTCCCGGGATCGAGTCCCGCATCGGGCTCCCTGCTTGGCAGGGAGTCTGCTTCTCCCTCTGACCCTCCTCCCTCTCATGCTCTCTGTCTCTCATTCTCTCTCTCTCTCAAATAAATAAATAAAATCTTTAAAAAAAAAAAAATTAGATGGCAATTATATACCCATTATTTTAAGATCCCCTAAAAAGATCCCCTGAAGCCCATGCATGGACCCCAGGTTGATAATCACTCCAGATATGGACACTATAGAACAGGCTCTTAGGAAATGTCAAGTAAATTCATGTGTCTCAACCAAGACAAGGATGAGCACATCCCTCATCTTAGCATTTCCCTGTGGCTACCACTGTGAGAATGAGAATGGATAGGATGTAGGGGAAAAAAAAGACAAAATCCAACCAAAATTTCAACATTATTCTGACATTTACTTTAACTATTAAAGCTTGAGAATTATGTTTGTATCATTCTGCTTCTTATTAAGCCTAAAAATATAAATTGGACAAACACAGGGAAGACAATACTTAGTTGGATAGTAATCAACTTTATCCTAAAAGTTTTAAGTAAGGCCCAATCTAGAGAAATATGCTAGAGAGAGAGTCCTTCAATATATTTACAAAGACTTCACTTTAACAAATAAAATTAGGAAAACAAAAAGGGGTGCCTGGGTGGCTCAGTCAGTTAAGCATCTGCCTTTGGGATCTCAGGGTCCTGGGATCGAGCCCCATGTCAGGCTCCCTGCTCAGTGGGGAATCTACTTCTCCTTCTGCCCCTCCTTTCTCGCTTATGATTTTTCTCTCTCTCTCTCAAATAAATAAATAAAAGCTTTAAAAAAAAAAAAAGAAAGAAAAACATAAAATGCTGCCCTTAATTTGCAAAAGCAACATATACATCCAACCTCATTTTATAACTAGTTGCTAGTTACATATAGTATTTCCATTATCTCATATTCAATTATGAGACCCTATAAACAGTGGGTTGCTTTTTTTTTTAAGATTTTATTTATTTATTTGACAGAGAGAGAGCACAAGTAGGCAGGCAGAGGGAGAGGGAGAAGCAGGCTCCCCACTAAGCACAGAGCCCGATGCAGGGCTCAATCCAGGACCCCGGGATCATGACCTGAGCTGACGGTAGACACTTAACTGAGCCACCCAGGCACCCCAAACCGTGGATTTCTAACCAGATCTGGACCAAGACTTTCTTTGTAAAGCTTTTGGATTATCCTGGGAAATGCCAATGGCTTTTTCAAAAATATCCCACCCCAGTATAGCCACTCTGGAAAACAGTATGGGGGTTCAGTTAAAAAATAGAGGTACCCCACGACCCAGCAATTGCACTACTAGCTATTTATCCAAAGGATACAAACATAATGATTCGAAGGGGCACATGTACCCCAATGTTTATAGCAGCAATGTCCACAACAGCCAAACTATGGAAAGAGCCCAGATGTCCAACAACAGGTGAATGGATAAAGATGTGGTTCATATATACATGTACACACACACACACACACACACACACACACACAATGGAATACTACTTAGCCATCAAAAAGAATGAAATCTTGCCATTTGCAACAATGTGGATGAACTAGAGGGTATTATGCTAAGTGAAAAAGACAAATACCACAGGATTTCACTCATATGTGGAATTTAAGAAATAAAACAGAGGATCATAATCGAAGGGAAGGAAAAATAAGATGAAAACAGAAGGAAACAAACCATAAGAAACTCTTAACTCTAGGAAACAAACTGAGGGCTGCTGGAGGGGAGGTGGGTGGGAGATGGGGTAATTGGATGATGGGCATTAAGGTGGGCACTTGATGTAACAAGCACTGGGTGTTATACATAACTGATGAATCACTGAACTCTAGCTCTGAAACTAATAATACACTATGTTAATTAAATTGAATTTAAATAAAAAAATTTTTTTTAAATATCCCACCCCCCAAAATCCCTCCTAAAACCATTCATGACCAAACATTTTTAACTAAGCAGCAAAACAGTTTTTTTCTTTTTTCCATTAATTCCAGGAATATAGTAAGTAAAATATTTTGATAGCTAAGGTGAAAACAGCCTTTCTCTTTGGTTATGGAAAGACTTAGGTCACCTCAACACCCAGATGGAGGCCCCTGAAGGCGCAGGAAGCTCACACCAGGCCCCCATGGCTCCTTCTGCTAAGAGGAGGGGTGCCCGGGTGGCACAGTTGTGGTTAAGCATCCAAATCTTGATTTCAGCTGAGGTCATGATCTCAGGGTTGTGAGATCAAGCCCCACGTTGGGCTCTGCTCTCAGCACAGAGTCTGCTTGAGTTTCTTTCTCCCTCTCCCTCTGCTCCTCCCCCAACTCACTCTCTCTCTGATAAATTTAAAAAATTTAAAAGGAGGGTAGCAAGTAACTTTTATAGCACAATTCTCATAATTTCATGGTTAAATAATCAAGTGTAAAGTCAAATTACATTTCAATATGTATTCCGTAATTCTGGTGACAAGTGAAATTGCATGCACCTTGCCTCTTTTTCCACTTCCCGAGAGGCTCACGGGAATGTGCATTCCAACAAAGTGAGCTCTGACTAATCTACCTATTTCCTATGTAAACAAATACAGTGGAGAGTCGAACAACATGAGTTTGAACTGGGAGTGCGTCAGCTTATACGCGGACTTTTTTTATAAAGACAGTACAGTACCGTGAAGGTATTTTCTCTTCCTTATGATTTTCTTAGCAACATTTTCTTTTCTCTAGCTGACTTTATTCTAAGAATACAGAACAGAATACACGTAACATACGAACTATGTGTTAACTGACTGTGTTACCAGCAAGGTTTCCAGTCCATAGTGGGCAATTAGTAGTTAAGTTTTGGGAGAATCAGAAGTTATACACAGATTTTTGACTGCACAAGGTCAGCGTCCATACTCCGGCACTGCGCAAGGGTCAACTGTCTAAGATTAGCTTGCCTGACCCAAGACTGGCATGAGATACAGACCCTAATAAGCTTCAAGAGGGACTATACATGTTTAGTGTTGGTGCTAAGCAAAACTTCCAAGCCTCACAGATACTGCTTCATGGATTTTTCTGGGCTGCCTGTCCTGGACCCTCAAAGCAGGATTAGGGTGCCCGGACCACAGGGTCCTACCTGGGAGGAGCTCCACTTCCCTTCATCAAAGATGTCCCCTAGAATGAAGACGACTTCTGGCTGCAACAACCACAGAGCCGTCTGGAAGGCTCTCTCCATTTGCCACTCCCTTGAGGTCAACAGAAAAAAGCACAGCATCAGTCTCTTTCTTAAGTAGAGCCTAGATCTGTCTTATGGGCCATTTAAAAAGTGAACCGAATAGTCACATTCTCCTTCCACGGCCCCACCCCTGCATTCCCATCCAGGCCTGCAAGGTCAGAGTCCATATCTGATTAAATGTGGGGAACAAGGAGGCTGAGGGAGAGTCGGGCTGCCCCGCCCACACATCTTAAAGGCTGACTTCCCCTATGTGGCACCCGCAGATCAGACCCCACACTGCACCCCAGAAGCCATCCCTCAGTCACGACAAGCCCCAAAGGTCAGGGAGAGCTCAACGCAGCTTCCAAAGATGCCCTGTGTAGACTGATTTTGCACCACACCAAGATGATAGCATCTGCCTTAAATTTCACTTCTCCTTGAAGGACCTCAACTTCCTGCCTGCCTTCAGAATTGGGGGAAGATAATGGGAGAATCAGACTAGCCAATATCAAAACTGTAAATCCTGTAGATTTCAGACATCCAAGGACTCATCTGTAGGTAAGACAAGTGAATGAAAAGAGCCTGGGGGGCGCTTGGGGGACTCCGTCGGTTATAAGCGTCTGCCTTCGGCTCAGGTCATGATCCCAGGGTCCTGGGATCGAATCCCGTTATCAGGCTCCCTGCTCAGCAGGGAGTCTCCTTGTCCCTCCGCCCCACCTACCCCCCCTCGTGCTCACTCTCACTCACTCTCTCTCTCAAATAAGTAAATAATCTTTAAAAAAAAGAATCCCGCCTGGGATCCAGACCTGACAGGCAACGACTTAACACCCCAGCTCCACCCATAAGCCCTTGTCCTGCCTTGAGAACGTCACCTACTCTCTCTGATTCCTATTCTTCGTTGGTAAATGGGAATAATAAAACCTACTCTCACAGGGCAGTTATGGGATTAAATGAGATAGCATTTGTCATGGGCCTAGCACTGACACAGAGTAGGCGTCCAAATGTCAGTGCTTTCTCGAACCACCCTCCCCTCTCCCTGGCCAACTCTGACCTGTGTCATTTTCCTAAGGATCCCAATTCTTCCCTCCTTTTTAAGGCAACCTCCTTAAGCAAAACTTCCAAGCCTCACAGTTTCTCCCCTACCAAAGGGGACTGTGACATCCCAGGGCACAGAAATAGGGAAAGATAATTTGAGGTCAGCGAGGACCCTGATCCAGGCCCCATATAAACTGCTGCATGGCGCACACCTCCACTCAAGATACCTCCCAAAATCCAGTTCTGTTTTTCTCGATTGAATGTTACTCACCCTGGAGAAGAAAGCATCTAGAAACTGCAGCAGCAAGAGGGCAGGGAAGAAGGCTCAACTGGTAAGGCCCAAATGAAGTCAAAGGAGGTCTCACCCAGGCCCTTCTCTACCTCATGCCTCCTTTGGTTTAAAACTCGAGTACAGAAGGACGGCAGCCCCTCCATCCTTCCTTCTTTTGTCTTGCCTTCTTCCCTCACCCCTGGGGACATTACACCTCTTCCCCTCCCACTCAACATTAGGTTCACCCATATCCAGAGTCCTCCAAGGATATTCCTGCTCACAAGGATAAAGACCTGTTTGGGGAGGCACAAATGCAGTCATGAGGAAAAGGGGGTCAGGGTGGGGGGGTCACCAGGGGCAAGAAGAGAACTCTGCTGCCCTGGTGGCTGAAAGCCCACCAGTCACCTTCTGGTGGGCGTAATTCACGACAGCCAAAAGGTGGACCTATCCATCAACAAATGGACGGAGAAACAAAACATGGTCTAAATATACACTGCAATAGCACTCCGCCTTAAAAAGGGAGGAAATTCAGGTTCCCTGCTTAGCAGGGAGTCTGCTTCTCCCTCTGACCCTGCCCCTCTCATGCTCTCTCTCTCTCTATCTCATTCTCTCTCAAATAAATAAAATCTTAAAAAAAAAAAAAAAAGGGAGGAAATTCTGACACATGCCCCAACACGGACGGACCTGGAGGACATTCTGCTCAGTGAAATAAGCCAGACACAAAAGGACAAATACTGTACGACTCCACTTATATGGGGGACCTAGAGGAGTCAAATCCAGAGAGCCAGAAAGTAGCATGGTGGGGGCAGGGGCTGGGAGAAGGGGGAATGGGGAGTCGGTATTTAATGAGGACCAAGTTTCAGTTTGGGAAGAAGAAAACATTCTAGAGATGGCTGGTGGTGACTGCTGCACCACCATGTGAATGTACTTGATGCCACTGAAATACACACTTAAAACTGTTTACGATGGTAACTTTTATGTTACGTGTACTTTACCACAATTAAATTTTTTAAAAAGCCTTTTTTTTTAAAAAAAAAGATTTTATTTATTTATTTGTCAGAGAGCAAGAACACAAGGAGGGGGAGCAGCAGGAAGAGGGAGAAGCAGGCTCCCCACCAAGCAGGGAGCCCAATGCGGAGCTCGAACCCAGGACCCCGGGATCATGACCTGAGCCAAAGGCAGACGCTTAACCAACTGAGCCACCCAGGCGCCCCTAAAAAGCCTTCTGATGGGAAAGCAGGTGGACTCTGCTGGGCCAGTCTAAGTTGGAGAGACAGGACCTGATCCTCTCCCCAGGGTGACAGCCACACATCTGCTCTGCTCTGGCTGCCCAGAGCAGGCAGACACCAAGTGGGCTCAAGACGACACACCAGCAACTGCCAGGGGGGACCACCAAGCCAGGCCGACCACACCCGTGTGCCAGACCTTGCCGTGGGCATTTTCCTCACACGGCCTATGAAGTCTCTGGTATTAACCAGTTACAAACAAGGAGGCAGAGTCAGGCTTGGAGGGGCCCTAGGAAATGGTCCAAAGTCACAAGACTCAAACCCAGACCTGCCTCCCAAATCCTGGGTCCTTATAAATAACAGATGCTCTGCAAACAGTATGTTCAAGGAAAAGTCAAATGCCCCATATGTCTCTCTTTGAGAGGAAAATAACTAATGACTACCCTGACCTATAGGGAGAGGAATTCACCCTTTTTGCCTGTAGAATTTCAGAAAGATTCCTGATTGTAGCTCCTACCTTCGTAATTTGTCTAGCCAATGGCCTCGCACTTCCCCAAGCAAGTGGGTATCAGCCAAAAACATGGCTTTCAGAGTCTTTTGTCCACTGTCGTGGGCTGGAGTTTTCACCTCAGGCCAATCACACCGAAAGATCACTAAGTAATAGATTAAAAATTCACAAAACAGAAGCACCGCAAAGACAACAGCTGTGAGTTTCAACAGCAAGGAACTCCTTCTCTTTAGCAGACAAAGATGCTGTCTTCCAAACCCCAGCCAAATCAGAGCCATGTCTCCTGCCCAGGAGTCACCAGCATCGAGGAGTGAAATCCATCAAGAATTCACCATGAGAGAACTGTGGAATCCTGGTAAGGTGTCCAGCGCTTAGCCATGTACCTACAGGGGGAAGAGAAAGGATCAGATTACGTTTCTTAATAATGCCATAAACACTCCTTCTATTAAGAACTAATGAGTTACAGGGGCGCCTGGGTGGCTCAGTCCTTAAGCGTCTGCCTTCGGCTCAGGTCATGATCCCAGGGTCCTGGGATGGAGCCCCACATCGGGCTCCCTGCTACGCGGGAAGCCTGCTTCTCCCTCTCCCGCTCCCCCTGCTTGTGTTCCCTCTCTCGCTGTGTCTCTCTCTGTCAAATAAATAAATAAAAATCTTAAAACAAAATACTTAAAAAAAAAAAAAAGTGACATGCAGGGCGCCTGGGTGGCTCAGTCAGTTAAGCGTCTGCCTTCGGCTCAGATCATGATTCCAGGATCCCAGGATCAAGCCCCTCAGCGGGGAGTCTGCTTCTCCCTCTCTTTCTGCCCCTCCCCCCCAGCTTGTGTGCACTCTCTCTCTCTCTCAAAATAAATAAATAAAATCTTAAAAAAAAAAAAAGAAATGACATGCTACTGAAGTTCCTCATCTTAGGCTCCCGACCAGGATCTTAAAGGGCAGTGACCTGATAGCTGCAGAGAACTGGAAAGGGAGAAGCTCCGGAAGTCTCTCGGGGGAGGCTTAGAGGGCCACTGACCACAGATCCTCACTGAGCCAATAAATAGAGAAAATCCCTTCCTGGGGGGGATGCTTTTCTAAGATGAATCCAGGAAACCTCATATGGCTGATGGGCAAGGGGTCAAGAACACTCTCTCTCCTGGAGGCTCTAAAATAATCTCTGTAAAATTCAGTTTCCAGAACTGTCCACATCTGCACATAAGCCTGAGTCCCTATAAGAGTCCCTAGCTTACAGCACAGTGGCGTTCTACATAACAACCAACCATTAAGCTACAGAAAAATTTTTAAATCTTACCTAAAGAAAACTAAATGGGGGTATTTTGAGCCATTATAAAAAGTTTAAAACAGAACCTCAGAATTGAAAGTGATAAATGATGGATGCCCTTCCTGCTCCTCCAAATGGAGCACCAACAACATCTGTGGCTTTTCAGAAAAGAAGAAATGACAGGATCGGAGGGGCAGGAATGGCTCTGGGCCCAAATGTTCACCCTTCCTCTGCCTGCTCTCGAATGGCATTATTTACAGTAAATCCTTGATTGAAGAGGGAACAGGACAGGAATCCCAGATTGTAAATGTGTCCTTTCAGACAGGGAGGTCAAAGGCAGGGGTGCATGTAATCAGGGGTCAAACGCTCGCCCTGCAGTTCTACTCCGAACACCCATCTATCTTTATCAAGAGGTCCGACCACCGGTGACCACGTGCCACACCCTGTCCTCTCCTCAGAACCTCCTCGCCACCTCGGTTTCTCAAAGGATGAACCACGCGTGCCACGTCTCTAGAATCACCGGATGCTTTATCTTCCAACCGGGGACATCTTTGAGAGGGAAAAGTGGCATTAAGGATAATAAAGATGGGACACTGGTGTAAGCCAGGACAGTCCCAGGCCCCTCAGGGAGCGCGGTCCCCCTGTGCATGATTCCACCCGGTGAGGCCAGCGCTTCATTGATGCCCAGGAGGACAGAGTAACGCGTCTCTTGCTGTCATCCACCTCTCAGCAATCGAACTCCGAATGAGGTACAAATGCCCCTAGTAACCATTCACCAGGGAGACGAAGAACATGGATCCTCTATTTGGGTGATGCTCGTAAAAGAAAGAGAGAGCCTCAAAAGAATCATGAATGTATTTCTCAATACCATCTCATTTCCTTTGGTTTGATTCAATCAAATATATCAGAAGAAACCATTTGGTGTTACTATCTCACTTTCTTTCAAAAGGCCCAAGAGTCTAACCACGGCAGCTGAAACTTCCCAAAAACCTTCACGTTTCCTCAGACTTGCCGGGAGGAGGGAGCCCAGCCTCCTGGGGCCAGTCCTACAATTCTCCTAACAAGCAGACTTTTGCTCTTTAGAGGCTCCAGGTTTTCCCGGAGCTGAAAACCAGAATGACGACTTCGTAATTGCTCCTCTACACCCACTTCCTTTCATCTAAGAAGCTGGTTTCGGGAGTTGTAACGACCAGGGAACAGGAGCAGCCTGGAGCAAGGCAGGCCCAGGCTGCCGTCCAAGTGTAGCACACAGCGGGGGTCAGAGGCTGCAGCCCCTCAGCTTCCCTGGAGCCACAGAAGCAGGACAAGACACACAGAGACAAGCCAGGGGAGCTCTCCCCGACCGACCCAGCTCCCATGTACCTTTGATCCTGCTGACGCCGGCCGGCCTCTGGCCCCAGGCTGACAGCTCAGATAAGGAGGGCCACGGGGCAAATAAAAGGTTGGGGGAGTCCCTGCCCTTCCCACAAGCATCTGTGTTCTTTTTTCCGTAAAGACATAAAAAATATCCTACAAAGAGCCCTTCCTTCAGCCAGAGGACTTAGAACAAAGGAAGGGAAGGAAGAAGGGAGGTGGGAGGAAGGAGGGAGGGGAGGGGGAGGGGAAGAGGGCAGGGCGGGGAAGAATGGAGGGAGGGAGGAACAGATGAAGGACAGGGAAAGAGGGAGAGCAAGCTAGCTGGTACTGTTACATATTTTCTTGTGAAAACCCTAACACCATGTGACTCAGCTCTGTGGTATAAGAAACAGAACTCCTCATGGGGTGAAAACCATTGTTTGACAACTTCTGACACCAAATCCTTAAACAAAATTCCTTTTGCTCAAATCTTGGAAATCTACTTTGCTTTCTCTATTCAAACTCATTGCACTACTCTGCAAATTAGTACTCCCCGATGTTGTCTTCAAGGCGATGGCCAAAACACACACACCCACACCCCCCTTTTCCCTCCTGAAATGAAGCCAGAGTAACTTTTGGGGCCCATGGCCGATGGGGGGTGGGGCAGGGGGCCCACCGTCCCCCTAGAAATGCCACAGCAAGGCCAGCGCCAGGCACACATGAGTAATGAGCTCCTCCCTTATGGCTGCTTCCAGATGCCCATGAAGTGCCCTCTCCTTGTGCTCAAGCCAACCTCAGGGACAGCACGGCGTCCTCATTTACGGCCGCAGCTGACCTGTGAAAAGGACACGCTGACCACGAGGAATAGGGAGCAACGGACATTTCCAGCACAGGGGCAGACCCGGCACAACGGAGCGTACCTCTCTCGAGAGGAAAGAGGAAAACCTCAGAGCTCTACGGGGAACCTTCACGCTCTCCTCTTCCAGTATCTCCTCCCGGGTTATGAATACCAACTGGCAGAAAACAGCTACGCTGAACTGGAAAAAGCCCAACATACAGCTCTGCTATGTGACTCTGGGCAAGCCACTTACCCTTTCTGAGCCTCACAATGGGGGTCACAGTGCTGCCACCACTGATGTCATGGGATTGACAGAAATGATGTTCACAAATGTGCGCTTTTTCAACAGTGAACCTTCCGTGAGGCAGGTGTGTCAGGATTAGATGAGAGAGCAAGCCTTCCACTCTGGTGAATTCAGAAGCAATGGAACTCAAGCCAAATAGCCTTAATCAGAGTAAGGAGAATGAAGCCCAGCAACTGCAGAGAATCTAGAAGCTGTGGCCGTCGTTCTCCACTCATGTACCAAGCTGGACTTCCTAACACTTGACATCCAAAGTCCCTAGACCCTTTCCTCACTAAATGTAAACCTGAACTTGTATCTCAACCATAATGAGTAGGTCAGTGACTTAAAATCCCCACAGCCGCGCAGCCCAATAACCACATGCTGCTCTGTCTTCCACGTCTCGGCTGTTACAGGCTAATGAAGAGAAACTGTGTTCTTTCCAAGATAAAATGAAAGGGGGGCCTGGTCCCTCATCAGAGCACTGTGGAGTGCTCTACCCAGGCCCAAATGCAGCCAACTCTTCCTGCCTCCTCCATAAATACAGGGGGGAAAAATGTGATTATCCATCTTATATCACTGGATGTACAACTAGGCCATGACTGCTTTCAATAAAGAGACTATTCTCTCTGTGTGTTGCCTTCTTGTGGTTAAGTGATGAAGAACTCTGTCCATGTTAGACACTTCTCTTTGCATTAGCAGACTTGGGTTCAAAAAGCAAAATTACTAAAATGTGATTTTTTTTTTTTTTTAAAGATTTTATTTATTTATTTGAGAGAGAGACAATGAGAGACAGAGAGCGTGAGAGGGAGGAGGGTCAGAGGGAGAAGCAGACTCCCTGCCGAGCAGGGAGCCCGATGCGGGACTCGATCCTGGGACTCCAGGATCATGACCTGAGCCGAAGGCAGTCGCTTAACCAACTGAGCCACCCAGGCACCCTAAAATGTGATTTTTTTTTTTAAAGATTTTATTCATTTATTTGACAGAGAGAGAGAGAGAACAAGTAGGCAGAGAGGCAGGCAGAGGGAGAGAGAGAGGCAGGCAGAGGGAGAGGGAGAAGCAGGCTTCCCGCTGAGCAGGGAGCCCGATGCGGGGCTCGATCCCAGGACCCTGGGATCATGACCTGAGCCAAAGGCAGCGGCTTAACCGACTGAGCCACCCAGGTGCTCCTAAAATGTGATTGTTTTCAACTCACCCCCACCCTCCAAAGTGAATCTGTCAATTTTATTAAGCTCATCAAATGATATCCCAGCAGGAAAACTACACAGGCCTCCCAACACTGTTCAGTCTGGTTAGGATCAAAAGGCAGACACACAACGCCTCTCAGGACCCTTCCTGACTCATCTATAAGAGAGCAAGGTTTGATATTAAAGGTCCCAGGAGGCCCTGGTGAGAACTCAAGTGCAGAATCTGTGCGATTTTGATTTCTACCCCCTACACACACCTTATTCCTGACATCACACATGATGACGTCAGTCACATTTACCACCCCGTAATTTTTCCAAAAGCTAAAAGAAACCCATCCCTGGTTTATGAAATCGGTTCGGTGGTTGGTGACCAGAGTTTTAAAAAACAAGATAGAATAAAACAGAATCGAAAACATTAGCCTGTAGTGTACGTAGTAAAGGTAAGGCATCATAAAGTTGATTTCACAAAACTCTTGTCTCTACTTTTCTGTACATGGATCTGTGTGTCCTGGTCATGATATAAAATGTATTTCTTACTTCACTAGTCTGTAAGCTCCCTAAGTCAGGGACCTTGCCTTGCCCATCCTCACATCCCGCCTCTGCCAGTGCCCAGGATGGTGCCTGCAAACAGTAAGTGCTCAATAACATCTGTGGAGTAAATGGCCTACATTTAACCTTATTGTCCCAAACATTTCAGAATTACAAACATATATTATCACTCCTTTGGTCTTTAAATGCGTCACAGTCTCCAGCCATAGAAACAGGAGAAACAGATTCGAGAAGATGTCCTGTTCCCCTTGGTCAGAGGGACAGGCAGGAATTTAAAGACGGGCAAACAGGTGCACAGAACACATTTTCTCACAGGCCCTGTGTGGAACTCTTACAAAGGAAAACCTTGCATGGCCCTCTGATGACAGGGAAGTAATGACAATCTTCCCCGAGCCCTTCTGGAGAAAACAGCTTTCTTTCTAAAAGGGAAATACATGAAAATGCCTGGTAGCGCCTGGGTTCTCTCCTAAACCCCGGGGCTGGCATGAGCCGGGCAGCTGGGGAAGTCTATATCCCAGTTGTGTTCTTTCCTAGTACAAGAGCTCAGGCAAGTCACTTAGAGAAACAGAAAAGGGGGAGGGGGAGAGACAAGACGGTTATTTTAAAAAACAAAAAATAAAATAGCAAGCATTGACGAGGATGAGGATAAATTGTAACGCTTGTGTACGGTTACTAGGAATATAAAATGGTGCAGTGCCTGCAAAAAGTGGTGTGGTGGTTCCTCAAAAAATTAAAAATAGAACTACTATATGATCCACCAATTTCACTTCTAGGTATATACTCAAAAGAACTGAAAGCAGGTGGGACGCCTGGGTGGCTCAGTCGGTTAAGCGTCTGCCTTCAGCTCAGGTCATGATCCGGGGTCCTGGAATCGAGTCCTACGTCGGGCTCCTTGCTCAGCGGGAAGCCTGCTTCTCCCTCTCCCTCTGCCTGCCGCTCCCCCTGCTTGTGATCTCTCTCTCTCTCTCTGACAAATAAATAAAATCTTTAAAAGAATAAAAAAAATTTTTTTAAAAGAACTGAAAACAGGGACTCAGATATGTGTACACCCATGTTCACAGCAGCATTATTCACAAGAGTCAAAAGATGGGATCGACCCCAATGTCTGTGGATAGATGAATAGATAAGCAAAATGTGCTATATGTATATCTAAATATAATGGAATATTACTCAGCCCTTAAAAAGGAAAGAAATTCTGACATAGGCTACAACATGGATAAATCTTTTTTTTTTTTAAGATTTTATTTATTTATTTGAGAGAGAGAGAGATCATGAGCAGGGGGAGCAGCAAGCAGAGGGAGAAGTAGACTCCCTGCTGAGCAAGGAGCCCGATGCAGGACTGGATCCTGGGACATGAGCTGAAGGCTGATGCTTAACTGACTGAGCCACCCAGGCACCCCAAACACAGGGATTTCTGAAGTCCACCTCAAATTTGCTGAATCAGAACCTTCAATATTTGGGCCCAGGAATCAGCACTCATAAAATGCCCACCAGCAACATGGATAAATCTTGATGACATTATATACTAAGGTAAATGAGCCAGTCACAAAAAGACAAAGACTCTATGAGTCCATTTATATGAGGTCCCTAAAGTAGTCAAATTCATAAAGACAGAAAGTAGATGGCAAGGTGGTTGCCAGGGGCTGGGAAAAGGGAAAATGGCGAGATGTTGTTTCATGGGTATAGTTCCAATTTTGCCAGATGGAAAAGCACTAAAGATTGCTTGGACCACGATGTGAATACACTTAATCGGACTGAGCTATACACCTGCTTGGTATTCTACCCAAATGAGTTTAAAACATGTCCACACAAAAACCTGACATAAACACAGCCGCTTTCTTCATAATTACCAAAACCTGGAAGCAACCAAGATGTCCTTCAATAGGTGAATGGATAAATAAACCATGGTACATGCAGACAATGGAACATTATTCAGTGCTAAAAAGAAAGGAGCTATCAAGCCCTGAAAAGACATGAGGAACTTTAATTGGGTATCATTAAGTGAAAGAAGCCAATCTGAAAAGGCTACATACTGTAGGATTCCTTCTATATGACATTCTGGAAAAGACAAAACTATGGATACAGTAAAAGATCAGTGGTTGGAGGTGGGTAAGGGGGAGGAAGAGACAGATGAACAGGTAGAGCACAGGAAATATTTAGGGCAGTGAAAATACTCTGTATGATACTATAATGGTGGATATATGTCATACATTGTTAAAACCCATAAAATATACACCACCAAGAGCCGACCTAATGTAAACTATGGCCTCTGGGTGATTCTGATGTGTTAGTGTAGGTTCATCAATTGTAGCCAATGTGTGACTCTGGTGCAGGATGCTGATAATAGGGGACAGCGTGCTATGTGGGGGCAGAGATCATATGGAAACTCTCTACTTTCTGCTCAGTTTTGCTGTGAACCTAAAACTGCTCTAGAAAACAGTCCATTAATAATTAGCAAGATGGTAAATTTTTTGTATATTTTACCACAATTAAATATTTTTTAATTTAATCATATCCTGATACATGATACAGCATAGATGAACCTTGAGGACATTATGCTAAGTGAAATAAGTCAGACACAGAAAGACAAAGTACTGTATGATTCTACTTATATGGGGGACCTACAGTAGTCAAATTCATAGAGACAGAAAGTAAAATGGTGGTTGCCAGGGCCAGGGTTGGGGGGAGGGGCAGTCATTACGTAATGGATATGGAGTTTCAACTGGGGAAAAAGTTCTGTAAATGGATAGTGGTGACAGTTGAAGAATAATGTGAATGTACTTAATGTCACTGAACTATAAGCTTAAAATGGTTAAAATGTTGGGTACCTGGGTGGCTCAGTCGTTAAACGTCTGCCTTCAGCTCAGGTCATGATCCCAGGGTCTGGGATCGAGTCCCACATCGGGCTCCCTGCTCGGCAGAAAGCCTGCTTCTCCCTCTCCCACTCCCCCTGCTTGTGTTCCTGCTCTTGCTATCTCTCTCTCTGTCAAATAAATAAATAAAATCTTTAAAAAAAAAAAATGGTTAAAATGTTAAATTTTATATTATGCAGGTTTTGCCACAATTTTCTAAAAAAAGGAAGAGGCACACGAACACACACACAGGACCCTACAAGCTAACGATGTCCTATAGCAAGGGCTTCCTTTTGGATCTAAATATACTACCTTTATAGGGGCGCCTGGGTGGCTCGGTCGTTAAGCATCTGCCTTCGGCTCAGGTCATGATCCCAGGGTCCTGGGATCGAGCCCCGCATCGGGCTCCCCACTCGGCAGGAAGCCTGCTTCTCCCTCTCCCACTCCCCCTGCTTGTGTTCCCTCTCTCGCTGTCCCTCTCTGTCAAATAAATAAAATCTTAAAAAAAAAAAAATTAAAAAAAAATATACTACCTTTATATATAAAAAGAAGTCTTGGGAGCCTGGGTTTAGGGAATATCACTGAGTCACCTTCTCACCTTTTAAACAATACAACTGGTAGATGAGACTGGTGAGATGAGATGAAGAAGCTCTAAGTTGGCTTGTGTTCCCCCAAATCAGAGCGCAAAATAAAGCAAATATGTGTGTTGTTGCTGAAGAATCTTTCCTTCGGTTAACCACTTTTTAAAGTGGATAATGCATCAGTCCCAGAGGGTACAGGAGGTGCTGCCCTGCAGCACACAGAGAAGGAACCCGATCAGTGTTTAAAGTAAACAAACAAAAAAAATAAATAAAAATAAAAATAAAAAATAAAGTAAACAAACACACAAACAAAAAACCAGCTAAAGAAAAATGACTGACATGTCATTGCTCACGAATAGCTCTGGTAAATTACAGCACAAAATATTAACATACAATATACGCATGCCACACTGCTCTGTATTGCCCAACACATAAAAATAGCAGCTGCAATCCATAACTGAGAACAAAACACTTCATCCATTGACTGAGTTTTAACTTCAAAGCCATCATTAAATATCTAAATCCCCTCCACCCAAAAACAGCACTAAAAAATGTGTAATATGCACTGATCCATAGTTTTTTCTCTTACTTGTCCATTACCTTAAATATATTACCACAGGGTCCTCAATGGCTATTCGAATGTTAAATGTTCCACCTTAAATAAGACGGATTTTTTTTTTTTGTCAATTTACATCAGCAAACTAGAAAGTGAGAGGCGCCTACGATTTGATACCTGGGCCTTAAGTAATCGTGATTCTCCAGCAAGTAAATGACTAATTCCCAGAACACCGTTTTTTCAGCTAACTCTCAATCCTAAAAAGGCAAGGAGGTTCCAGTCTGCAGTAACAAGAAATAGCAATTAACCTAGAAGCCTAAATATTATAGCATGGTCATAAGGAAACATGGAGAATCCTGCTTGCGGCGGGCGGCCAAGCACCCAGCGAGGCAGATCGCAAAGCAAAGCCTCCCGGGCGAGCCGGGCCCCCATCACTTCACCTGTCCTCCGGCCCGCCGAGCATCCCTGCAACTTCCTGTTTCCGCGCACGTGGCCCAGCGGGTCCCCGTCACCCCTGGCACCGCGCGCCGCCGGCCTCGGGCGGGCGGGAAACACTGAGTCGCCGCAAAGAGACACGCCCCCGGCCCCGCCCCCGCCCCCCAGTGGGCTCCACGGGCCGCCCCAAACGGTGGGTGCAAAGAAGCAAAACCCTACACTTGGCCGCATCTTCCTCAACGACTCGGCCCTTCGTGCCATCCTTAATGTCTTCTAGACTTTATTCTCCGTTCGGGTCCTTAGTGCCGCGGCTCCCTGGAACCCCCAGAGCAACGTCCGAGAAGGCGAGGGGCGCGCTGCAGCCGCGAAGCCGTTGGCGCCCGGAGCGGCGGCCAGGGGAGGAGGGGCGCGCGGG